AGATTTAAGGCCACCTGAATTTATTAAATACTTCCAGGCAGGTGTGGTGGCTCACACCTGTAATCCCAGCACTCTGGGAGGCTGAGGCGGGTGGACTACCTAAGGTCAAGAGTTCGATACCAGCCTGACCAACATGGTGAAACCCCATCTCTACTAAAAATCCAAAAAAATTAGCCGGGCGTGGTGGCACATGCCTGTAGTCCCAACTAATCAGGAGGCTGAGGCAGGAGAATCGCTTGAACCAGGGAGGTGGAGGTTGCAGTGAGCTGAGATTGCACCACTGCACTCCAGCCTGTGCAACAAGGTGAGACTCCATCTCAAAAATAAAATAAAATAAATACTTCCAGTGCACCCATCTCATGCTAAGTGCCATGAAGAATAAAAAGAGCTTGCAAGTCAATTCAGCCATTTAGTTAGCACTGATTATATTCCAAGGTTACCTAGTAGTGAAGTAATGTCATTTGATACAGTGATTCCGTCTATCACTGAGATGGCATCGGACTAGAAAACAATGAGGCAAAGGAAAAATTACAGTAAAGAGAAAAATGTAACTACATTTAATGACAATCTAAAAGAGTAAACAGAAAGAGGCAAAGGGAAAAATCTAGAAGATCCATGAGGAGGAGGGATAGGATTCGTAAATTACTTTTGGGCAGTGTGAGACCTGCTTATCCAACTGCCTGTTGGCCAGAGTCCCTCACACTCAGCACGCCCACGTCCCCCCCCTCCTGCATTACATCAGCAATACCCTTCTGATTTGTCTCCCTGCTTCCTGTCTCTCCCTCCCCCAAAACAGTCTCCAGACTGCAACCACAGTAATCTCATTAAGATGAAATTTGATTACTTTGCTCCATCTCTTAAAAAGGCTCCCCTCTCTTGGCTGGGCTCGGTGGCTCATGCCTGTAATCCCAGCACTTTGGGAGGCCGAGGTGGGTGGATCACGAGGTCAGGAGTTTGAGACTAGCCTGGCCAACATGGTGAAACCACCCCCTCCACTAAAAGTATAAAAATTAGCCAAGTGTGGTGTGTGTGTGTTGGGGGGGGTACCTGTAATCCTAGCTACTTGGGAGGCTGAAGCAGGAGAATCACTGGAACCCAGGGAGCAGAGGTTGCAGTGAGCTGAGATTGCACCACTTCACTCTAGTCTGGGCAAAAGGGCAAAACTTCGTCTCAAAAAAAAAAAAAAAAAAAAAAAAAAAAAAAAAAAAAAAAGCTCTTGTCTCTATTGCTCTCCAGATCTAGTCAGTAGCACTCCGCTTCCCCTTCAAGTTTCTTTGTTCTCTGTGTCCCTACTGGATGATATGGTCAACTGATTCCTTCCTACAGTTTCTTTAACTAGCCATCGTTGCCCCACCCACTCGCTTTTGATCCTTGGAAGTGCTGTTTGCCCCCAACATTGCCAGCAGGCTAATTCTCCTCTCCTACATTCCTGGGTATGAACTGCAGAGGCCAAAGTGAGCTGGTCTACGGGGATGCACATTTCCTGTTTGAGACCCAAGGGGACAGGGATATCTATTGTGGAGCCTGCTCCATTCTGCCCTGTATTGGCAGAGACCTGATTTACACTCAGATCCCGATCCTGTAGTCTCTTTGGATTTGAGACAGAGAAAGAGAGTGCCTGCTTCCACAGGGTGAGGGACTTCTCCCAGCTTCCTCTGGGGGTACAGGTTCTGCTTGCTGAGCCTGGTATTTAAGTCATTTTGGCCAATTCCCAGATGGTTCCAGAGTTGATAATTTATATAAATCATTCAAAAGGCAAATGGACATGACTTTTCCCTTATTTTTTGTTATTTGGCTGGGAAAAAAAAACAAGAACAAATATTCTTGTCCTACTGGGCATTATTCCCCCTATAAATGTGAATAATTCAGAGCTGGTTTCAAAGCTCCTTGGGGACTTTTACCCATGACCTGAGCATTATTTACTATAACCTGCCTGGCATATACCAAAATCCACCACGGGCAGGTAATTGTAACTATGAGGAAGAGAAGGGCCGGCACGGTGGCTCACGGCTGTAGTCCCAGAACTTTGGGAGGCTGAGGCGGGCAGATCACGAGGTCAGGAGTTCGAAACCAGCCTGGCCAACATGGTGAAACCCCACCTCTACTAAAAATACAAAATTAGCCAGGCATGGTGGTGCATGCCTGTAATCCCAGCTACTCAGAAAGTGGAGACAGGAAAATTGCTTGAACCTGGGAGGTGGAGGTTGCAGTTGCAGTAAGCCAAGATTGTGCCATTGCATTCCAGCCTGGGTAACAAGAGAGAACCTCCTTCTCAAAAAAAAAAAAAAAAAAAAAAAAAAAAACCGAAAAAGAAGAACAGTGAAAATTATCCATAAATTCTACCATTCCAAGATAAACTGGTTACATTCCCCCCTGTTATTTTGTCTCCACATGTATTTTTTTAATAGCTCATATTGTGTGATCTTGGCCCTTCTTTTCCCACTGTACTCTCTTCTTTGGTGGTTTCATCCATTATGATGGCTTTTATTACATCTCTGAGATGATAATTCGGCACAGATCTCTGCTCTGAGCTTCAAATTTTTCTGCCCCTACATTCCAAACTTGCTCCTCTGAAACCATTTTGGTAAATGACTATTACCATCTGTCCCACTAATACCAGATACTTGGAGTCATCCATAATGATTTTCTGTTTCGGCAATTCCTCCCCACCCCTTTCCCAACTGTCTTAGTCCATTCCTGCCACTATAACAAAATACCATAAACTGGCAGGTTGATAAACAACAGAAACTTATTTCTCACATTTTTGGAGGTTGGGGAGTCCAAGATCAAGATGCCAGCATACTCAGTGTCTGGTGAGGGCCCACCACCACCAGTTTTCTGGTTTATAAAGTGGTACCTTCTCACCGTGTTCTCACATGGTAGACAGAGGCACCTTTTATAAAAGTGCTAAACCCATTCATGAGGACCCCACTCTTGTGACCTAATCTTCTCTCCAAATCCCCTCCTCCTAATGCCATCTCCTTGGGTATTAGGTGTTTTTAAATTTTTATTTTTAGAGACAGAGTCTTACTCTGTCACCCAGGCTGGAGTGCAGTGCGTGATCTTGGCTCACTGCAACCTCTACCTCCCGGGTTCAAGCGATTCTCCTGCCTCAGCCTCCTGAGTAGCTGGGATTACAGGCATGCGCCACCACGCCCAGCTAATTTTTGTATTTTCGCCATGTTGGTCAGGCTGGTCTCGAACTCCTGACCTCGTGATCTGTCTGCCTTGGCGTCCCAAGGTGCTAGGATTACAGGTGTGAGACACCATGCCCGGCCAGGATTTCAACATATGAATCTGGGGGAGGACACAAACAGACCATAGCACCATTAATCATGATACCTGTCATATGTATCTAACAATTGTTCTTGCCTCCCCAAGTCCACTGCCACCACCCTAATTCAAGCCACCATCCTCTCTTTCTGGTCTGCTCCCACAGCCCTATTAGTGTCCTTTTTTCCACACATCCCCCCTACATTCATTTAATGGGCTCAAAGGTCCTGCCAATCCTGGCTCCCTCATTCCATGACCCTCAAATTCTTGTCACCTGGTCCTCTTTCTGTCCCTTAATATATGCCAAGCTCTTCTTCTCTACTTTGTGTTTAATATTCTCTTATTTTCCTGAAAGGCTTTTGCCTCAGCTGTTCCCATAGCTAGTTTCTTTTCTTCCTTCAGTTCTGATCTCCAAAGTCACCTCCTCACATAGACCTTCCCTGATGTTTTAATTAAATTTGGTCCTCCTAATATTGCCCATCAAAAAGCAACTAGTTTATTTTCTCCCTGGCATTAATCATGACATGCCATTCTTCTGTTAAATGTATTCAATTTCTTTCTTTTTTTTTTAATTTTTGAGATGCAGTCTTGCTCTGTCTCCCAGGCTGGAGTGCAGTGACAGATCTCAGTTCACTGTAACTTCTGCCTCCCCGGTTCAAGCAATTCTCCTGTTCAAACGATGCCTCCCAAGTAGCTGGGACTACAGGCGCCTGCCACCATGCTCTGCTAATTTTTGTATTTTTAGTAGAGAGGGGGTTTCGCCTTGTTGGTCAGGCTGGTCTTGAGCTCCTGACCTTGTGATCCACCCGACTCGGTCTCCCAAAGTGCTGGGATTACGCCCAAAGGCGTGAGCCGTGGCGCTCCGTCCAATTTCTTTCTTTAATAGAAAAAGTAAATAAAAAAGTTTTGTAATATTCCTCCAACAAGTAGGATGCGCAGATGAAATATAGAATACCTAGTTAAATTCGAATTTCTGATAAACAGTGAACTTTTAAAATATGAGATTTGGGACATACTATACTAAAAAAGTATTCGTTATCTTAAATTTAAACTTAATCGTCCCATATGTGTATTTAAAATTTTTTTGACAGCTTCCCAGAATAAATTAGCGTCCTGCATTTTCATTTCTTAAATCCGACACCCTTACCCACAGGCTTGACTCTTGTCTTTTCCTGAGGCCGTACCCTCCCGGCCTAGCCCAGAGCTCATTATTTACAAGGTGCTCAGTAATTGTTGTATATGAATGAACTATCTGCATGCTGTTTTGTACGTTTTTTACTCATCTGAAATTTACATGTATTTATCAGAAATTCCCACATCCACTGAAATAACTTATTTAAGACAATTTTGGAAAATATATTGTATTGCCAAAACTTGTTTTCCGTTTCTGCAAAATTGGCGTAGGAGTATCCATCCTCATCACATTGTTTTGACAATTAAAAGAGTTAGTGAAAAAGTAAAAGTAAAGTTTTGCACTGTGCCCAGCCCACTAGGACGCTCAATACAGTTCTTTATTAAATGAAGGCTGTGCACCATTTTAGCGCCAAGCAAAAAAAGCGCGTTTGTAAAGAACGGGTGGGGGTAGGGAAAACGGTTAGAAAGGTCCGCCGACCCAACACCGAGGGCCCGAGAAAATGGGAGGAGCGAAGAGTGAACGACAGAGGAGGCAGCCAATGGAGAAACTGGGAACTACTTCCCCCCCCCTCCCTTTGCGTTTCAAATTCTAAGCTCCGTTTCCATCCGGGTCCTTCAGCCTCGTTCCCGGGCAGTATAAAGTTTGCTGTCTCCTTTGTTCGTCCTCGTTGCGCAGTAGTGCTAGCGGGTTCGCGTTTCGGTTGTCGGACCCGGCAGCCGCTTTTGGTGCTAAGCTGCTAGGAAGCCCCTCTCGGCGAGCTCGTTGGAGCTTGAACCCATTGTCACCCCTCCGGTACGTGTCTCCTTTCCTCAGTCTGTTTTTCGTGACACTCGTCGCGTTAGGACTGGGGATTATATCTCTCTGGAGATGGGGGTGGCGGGCGCCATTTTAAGAACCCAAAGGTGCCGACCTATTTAAATAAAGCTGGGGGGGTCGAGGGAAAACAAATGAGGGGGCCCGTTTGGTTGTATGCCTCGAGGAAGTTTGGCAGTCGCCTACGGGAGTGGGTAGCGGAGGTCGGGGCTTTGTAGGCTGGAGCCGGGCGAGGAGCGACTGCACCACCGCGATACCTGCATTGGGATGGCGCTGGCGCTAATGATGGGCATGTGGAGTTCCATGCGGGCTGCGGGCTCCGTATTCATTGGCGGTCCGGAAGAAGAACCCCTCTGAATGTGCACAGCCAGTGTTGATGGTAAAAGTTAGTCCCCTTACCGGTGTCGGTGGTTCTGGGTTGAATCCAAGTGTCGCCATTTTGTCTTTTACACGCGGTTTTTAATGACGAGTTTTAATTAGGTTCTGCTTCAGTCACGGAGCGTCGGGTGTTAGTGCGTGCGTCCGCGTTCCGTTACTTAATAGGAAACGGTGTTGACAATTTGTTTTTATCTTTTTGGCTGGATAGTAGCATTTCGGTAGGGCGGGGACCGGTGAAGAAGAGGTGGCGTAACTTGGCTCAAACTTCACATTTCTCCCTAGATTTAGTAGGGAATTCTAATGAGGAAAAGAGGAGTCGTTTGGAAGAGGGCTTGTTGTTAAGGTCGTGTGTCTGGCCTGTGACCTTGGGAGTCTTTTAAAACCCCATCCTTAGGAAGGGTGTGATGAATAATTGAATCTTTCAAAGGCAACCGAAATACAGGACTAGAACTAAAAGTTGCTTTCTCAAATGTTAAGCAGCTGTTGCGAAGAATAGCTAAGGGCGATCAAGGGTAGTGGTAAAAGTGATTTTGGCCCTTTTAACCAGTTTTATGTAAATTACGCTGTTACTAAACTGCTTAATTCAAATACTTCCTACTGTGGCTGAGGCTTAGCTTATTAGCGTTTTCTTTAGTCATTAAGAAACAATGGTTTTAGTGGAAAATATGAAAAATATGCCACAGTAAAAGTGTCGAATAAACTTGAGGAACTTTTTGCAGTGAGGTAATACTATTCCTTCTCAACAGACTCACCGGCAAAAAAAAAATGGTTGAAGCAGATCGCCCAGGAAAGCTCTTCATTGGTGGGCTTAATACAGAAACAAATGAGAAAGCTCTTGAAGCAGTATTTGGCAAATATGGACGAATAGTGGAAGGTGAGTTGTCTGGAAGTACAGGCTGGGCTATTATAACTAAAACATAAGCAATGATGAATTTGATTGCATTGATTATCTGACGTGATAATGTATTTTGTCCTCTAAGAAGTTCTGAGCTTTCTCTTTACACATTTACTTTGGTTATTTCATTTGAACTAGGGTAACACTTAATTTTCTAAAAACTACTTTTTAGTACTCTTGATGAAAGACCGTGAAACCAACAAATCAAGAGGATTTGCTTTTGTCACCTTTGAAAGCCCAGCAGATGCTAAGGATGCAGCCAGAGACATGAATGGAAAGGTGAGATTGTCTACACAATGGATGATAACCTGTTACTAGTGCATAAAATAACATGTAGTTGCCCCAGTCTGGACTAGGACAGCTTTTGAGTTTTCATTGTTTTTCAGTATGTACCTGTCTGGGACCCACTTATCCTACCCCTTTGTGATCCTCTTCCAAAGAATATTCTGTAATTCCAGAACCAAATCTAGTAGTGAGTTATATCTTATGCTGTTAACAACATACTCTCAGTTCAAAATCATTATGTCATTACATGATGCATTTTTTTTGGAGACAGTATTTCTCTGTTGCCCAGGCTAGAGTGCAAGGGTGTGAACTCCGTTCACTGCAACCTCCACCTCCTGGGTTCTAAGCGATTCTCCTGCCTCAGCCTCCCTGTAGCTGGGATTACAGGCATCCGACACCACATCTGACTAATTTTGTATTTTTAGTAGAAACGGGGATTTCACCATGTTGGCCAGGATGGTGTCAAACACCTGACTTCAAGTGATCCACTTGCCTCAGTCTCCCAAAGTGCTGGGATTACAGGCATGAGCCACTGCGCCCTGCCATCATGATAACATTTTATCTTGAGATCCCTAAGCCATATTTTGATAACTTGGCTTTTAGTGTTGATAACAAGCTGTCATCTACTTGGCCTTGTTTCATATTTTACCAAACAGCAACTCCTGACCTCAGGTGATCACCTGCCTCGGCCTCCCAAAGCTCTGGGATTACAGGCGTGAGCCACCGTGCCTGGCCCATCCGTATCATTTTTAAGTATTAAGAATTTTTAGTGGAAAAGCCCCATATATATAAACTGATTGTGCTTGCAGTGTTTTTTCTTCGACTAATTAATGAGCAACACTTATACATAACTGCATTTTGAAGGACCTGTTAGTGTCTTAGTGCATAGATGTGCAAATTATTTTTAAATCTTGATTTAATTTAACCATATCTTTTTTTGTAGTCATTAGACGGAAAAGCCATCAAAGTGGAACAAGCCACCAAACCATCATTCGAAAGTGGTAGACGTGGGCCACCTCCACCTCCAAGAAGTAGAGGCCCTCCAAGAGGTCTTAGAGGTGGAAGAGGAGGAAGTGGAGGAACCAGGGGACCTCCCTCACGGGGAGGACACATGGGTAATGACTTGAGTGGATCTCGGGCTTAGTGTATAAGTCAGGGACTGCAAACTCATACCAAGTGGATGTTTTGGTTAAGTCCTTGAGGAAAGGCACCAGCTTTTAAAATTGACAACACCTGTTCGTCTACTAAAAGTGATTGCCACTTGAAAGCATAGGAAGCATGTTATGAATGTGTACAGTGTCCTTGTCCAAGTAGTTCACTTTGTAGGAAAGACATTTAAAAAAACTTTGATAGGCCTAGGTGTTGGACATGGAAGTAATTTTAATTTTTTAAAGTTAGCTGGGTGTGATGGCCCACGCCTGTAAACCCAGCTGCTTGGGAGGCCGAGGCAGGAGAATCGCTTGAACCCAGGAGGCAGAGGTTGCAGTGAGCCAAGATCACACTACTGCACTCCATCCTGGGTGACACAGCAAAACTCCTTCTCAGAAAAAAAAAAAAAAGTTTAAGACTACCTTCAGTTCTTACTTCCCCAGTCTATATGACTGCACTGCATGTTCTATCAAGTACAAGTGAAACGAGACCACCCAACTAAATAATGGCCATATATATATATATATTTTTTTTTTTTTGAGACTGTTTCACTATTGTTACCCAGGCTGGAGTACAGTGGTGGGATCTTGGCTCACTGCAACCTCTGCCTCCCAGGTTCAAGTGATTCTCCTGCCTCAGCCTCCTGAGTAGCTGGGATTACAGGCATGTGCCACCAGGGCTGGCTGATACTTGCATTTTTAGTAGAGACGGGGTTTCACCATGTTAGGCTGGTCTTCAACTCCTGACCTCAGGTGATCCACCCGCCTTGTCCTCCCAAAGCGTTGGGATTACAGGTGTGAGCCATCGTGCCTGGCCCAATGATGGTTATATTTTTATTGAAGCAAAGAAAACTTACAGCGGCCGGGCGCAGTGGTCCTAGTGCCCAGCCCACTAGGACGCTCAATACAGTTCTTTATTAAATGAAGGCTGTGCACCATTTTAGCGCCAAGCAAAAAAAGCGCGTTTGTAAAGAACGGGTGGGGGTAGGGAAAACGGTTAGAAAGGTCCGCCGACCCAACACCGAGGGCCCGAGAAAATGGGAGGAGCGAAGAGTGAACGACAGAGGAGGCAGCCAATGGAGAAACTGGGAACTACTTCCCCCCCCTCCCTTTGCGTTTCAAATTCTAAGCTCCGTTTCCATCCGGGTCCTTCAGCCTCGTTCCCGGGCAGTATAAAGTTTGCTGTCTCCTTTGTTCGTCCTCGTTGCGCAGTAGTGCTAGCGGGTTCGCGTTTCGGTTGTCGGACCCGGCAGCCGCTTTTGGTGCTAAGCTGCTAGGAAGCCCCTCTCGGCGAGCTCGTTGGAGCTTGAACCCATTGTCACCCCTCCGGTACGTGTCTCCTTTCCTCAGTCTGTTTTTCGTGACACTCGTCGTGTTAGGACTGGGGATTATATCTCTCTGGAGATGGGGGTGGCGGGCGCCATTTTAAGAACCCAAAGGTGCCGACCTATTTAAATAAAGCTGGGGGGTCGAGAGAAAACAAATGAGGGGGCCCGTTTGGTTGTATGCCTCGAGGAAGTTTGGCAGTCGCCTACGGGGGTGGGTAGCGGAGGTCGGGGCCTTGTAGGCTGGAGCCGGGCGAGGAGCGACTGCACCACCGCGATACCTGCATTGGGATGGCGCTGGCGCTAATGATGGTTATATTTTTATTGAAGCAAAGAAAACTTACAGCGGCCGGGCGCAGTGGTTCACACCTGTAATCCCAGCAGTTTGGGAGGCCAAGGTGGGCGGATCACTTGAGGTCAGGAGTTCGAGACCAGGCTGGCCAGCATGGTGAAACCACCTCTCCACTAAAAAAAAAAAAAAAAATATATATATATATATATATACACACATACACACACACAAAATTAGCTGGGGATGTTGGCATGTGCCTGTAATCCCAGCTATTTGAGAGGCTGAGGGAGGAGAATTGCTTGAACTCAAGCAGAAGTTGCAGCAAGCTGAGATTGTGCCACTGCACTCCAGCCCGGGTGACAGTGAGCTCAAAAAAAAAAAAAACTGATTTAGCTTCCTTGATTCTTGTGAGTAGTAACATTTTTCTTTTCTATTCTAATGTAGATGACGGTGGATATTCCATGAATTTTAACATGAGTTCTTCCAGGGGACCACTCCCAGTAAAAAGAGGACCACCACCAAGAAGTGGGGGTCCTCCTCCTAAGAGATCTGCACCTTCAGGACCAGTTCGCAGCAGCAGTGGAATGGGAGGAAGAGGTAAATGTTCCATGTATGACAATCTATGATACTACTGTAACACAAAAAATTGAGAGGTGAATGATGCCTAAAACTTGAATCATACAGGCAGGGCAGGGTGGCTCATGCCTGTAATCCCAGCACTTTGGGAGGCTGAGGTAGGTGGGTCACCACGTCAGGAATTCGAGACCGGCACGGCCAACATGGTGAAACCCTATTTGTACTAAAAATACAAAAATTAGATGGGCATGGTGGTGGGCACCTGTAATCCCAGCTTTTCTGGAGGCTGAGGCAGGAAAATTCCTTGAAACTGGAAGGCAGAGGTTGCTTTGAGCTGAGATTGAGCTCTTTCTGGGAGAAAGGGCGAAACTCCGTCTCAAAAAAAAAAAATTAATCATTGGGTTCTAGGTGATCTAGATACATGGAATTAATGAGCACTGAAAAAAATTTAAAATGTGAATGGGAAATTCTAGAAAATAAAATTAGACCTAGCCTCCATAATGTTGTCTTTGAAGTCAGTCTCATTACTTTTCATAGCCTTGAATGTAAGTTCATGTTTTAACTTTTTTCTGTTAAAATATTTTTTTTCCTTTAAGCTCCTGTATCACGTGGAAGAGATAGTTACGGAGGTCCACCTCGAAGAGAACCGCTGCCTTCTCGTAGAGATGTTTATTTGTCCCCAAGAGATGATGGGTATTCTACTAAAGACAGGTAACATGTGCAGCTTGTTTATTAATAATTAAAAGAAAGCTTAGCAAAAGCACAAACCAAAACTTGTGTTTTTGTAGCTATTCCAGCAGAGATTACCCAAGTTCTCGTGATACAAGAGATTACGCACCACCACCGCGAGATTATACTTACCGTGACTATGGTCATTCCAGTTCACGTGATGACTACCCATCAAGAGGCTATAGGTAAGTGACTGCTTCTGTGGCTCGCGTGTAAGAAAAATCACTATGACAGTTCATGCTCTGGGACTTACCTTTCTCTCTAATTTAGCGATAGAGATGGATATGGTCGTGATCGTGACTATTCAGATCATCCAAGTGGAGGTTCCTACAGAGATTCATATGAGAGTTATGGTAAGATACTGGTTAAGGGTCTTGAGTATCACCAGCTTGAGTTTTTAGGTTCGTGAGCCAGTTTATTAGGCTGCGTGGTGCTTGCTTTTAAAGGGATGTTTGCTTGCTTTTAAAGGGGGTAACTTTATCAGCTGGGCTTTTCCTAGTTTTTGTGAGGGGCTTTTTTTGTTTTTCTAAGTTTCTTTTGAGGCTGTTTGCTTGCTTTGGAGGGGATTTTGCTTGCTTAAATTGGCAGCCTTATGTGTTTTCCCCCAACAGTGAAAATACAATTAAAAAATATTTATTAACAAGATCAAATATTTACCATTGCAATATGAAGGCAAGTTCTACAGTTCAAAATTGCAACTTATCACTGGAAAGTGGCTGAGTGTCTACTATAAAATAACAAGCTCTCTGGAATATCCTCTTGAAATACACACCGTCTTCAGTCTTTTCAAACAAACATTAAAATGAATCCATTTCCATATCTCAGCAGATGAGCAAATCCCTGTTATGGCCAGCAATGGCAGAGTTTAAAACCTCCCACCCAGTTGAGAAAGTAAACTTTTAATACAAGAATTCTGTAAATTCAGATTTAAAATGTTGTATATATACAATTTATAGTGTTGCCATATTACCTGACCATTGACCCTGCAGGTAACTCACGTAGTGCTCCACCTACACGAGGGCCCCCGCCATCTTATGGTGGAAGCAGTCGCTATGATGATTACAGCAGCTCACGTGACGGATATGGTGGAAGTCGAGACAGTTACTCAAGCAGCCGAAGTGATCTCTACTCAAGTGGTCGTGATCGGGTTGGCAGACAAGAAAGAGGGCTTCCCCCTTCTATGGAAAGGGGGTACCCTCCTCCACGTGATTCCTACAGCAGTTCAAGCCGCGGAGCACCAAGAGGTGGTGGCCGTGGAGGAAGCCGATCTGATAGAGGGGGAGGCAGAAGCAGATACTAGAAACAAACAAAACTTTGGACCAAAATCCCAGTTCAAAGAAACAAACAAAAAGTGGAAACTATTCTGTCATAACTACCCAAGGACTACTAAAAAGAAAAATTGTGTTACCTTTTTTAAATTCCCTGTTAAGTTCCCCTCCATAATTTTTATGTTCTTGTGAGGAAAAAAGTAAAACATGTTTAATATTATTTGACTTTATGACATTGCTTTTCAACAAGCAAATGTTAAATGTGTTAAGACTTGTTGTACTAGTGTTGTAACTTTCCAAGTTAAAGTGTCCCTAAAGGCCACTTCCTATATGATTTTTCCCAGTAAGTGAGGCAAGCAGTTCTAAGATCTTCCACAAAACATCTAGCCATCTAAAATGGAGAGATGAATCATTCTGCCTATACAAACTAGCTGTTAGAGGGTGGTTGGGGTATACTACTCATAAGATTTCAGGGTGTCTTCCAACTAAAACCTCCATGATCTCAGTATGAAAAACCTGAAATCAGATGCCTATGTAAGGAAATAATCACCCAGTAAACCCAAAAATGCAAATGGATAATGCTGGCCATTTTGCCTTCCTGACATTTCCTTGGGAATCTGCAAGAACCTCCCCTTTCCCCTCCCCCAATAAGACCATTTAAGTGTGTGTTAAACAACTACAGAATACTAAATAAAAAGTTTGGCCAAAACCAACCATGAAGCTGCAAAGGTGCTTGCTCTTACTGTTTCAAATTTTTGCAACTCTGTAGTGTCTCACTTTTAAAGGAACAGCTTGATTGCAAAGGAGAAAATAGATAAGCAATGAAGTTATCTCCAACTTCCTAAAGGCTTATGACTTCTAAAAAGTGAATCTATCAGCATTCCACATCAGATTTAAAGCATCAAATGCCTGTGAAACAGCAAAGATGGTAAGCAAAGCAAACTAGTTTTTCCGTCTAAGTCGAAATTGAACACTTACCTTCCTCATAGTACAGTGAAACATACTGTACCTCATGGCAATGGAAATGCCTTCTAGATTTAAAAAAAAACTTGGAAAAAAACAAATATTCAATAGCATATTAGAAGTCCTCCAAATTCAACACTTGGATTTTTTTTTTTAAAGCATGTGTGACACTTAAAGGCTTTAATAGAGCTGTTGTTTACCAATAGCAGTCTGGGGCTTGGGGGAGGGTATTTTTTCAAAGTCCATTTTTGATGAAGACCTTTAAACATGCTTCCTATGTTTTTAACATTTTTTTTTTCAAATTAGTCTTTTAGCCAATATAGGAAATGGCTTAAGTTTGGGGTCCCCCTTTTTACCCCTGTAAGCCATTGCAAACTTAACATTTAGTTGGATGCCTGACTTGTTTTTAGTTCTATGAAACTACACTGTATGGAGAAAATCTATTGCAAGTGGTCTTTAAAAAGCAAAACCTGAGGCAGCATGACCCAGGTCCAGCCATGAAGTTGAAAAAGATGCTCTTGAATATAGTAAACTTGAAGACCTCCAACTAAAAATCCTTATACTGCACTTATTCCTTCAAATAAGTTTTGTTCGTTCAACTTATGGATTTAACGTGGCAGTGCACCATTGGAACAGAATGACAATCCATAAGCCATGCAACTTAACCATTTAAGCCATTCCAGTCCATCCCAAGCCAGTGAATCTTCCACCACTTAAGAGAAGTAGTAGAACATGAAATAATGTTAAGCTGCAAGTCTGAACTTGCCTTTTCTTTCTGGAAAAGAGGGCAGTAATAGGCAAGTTTTGAAGAATTTCCTTAAGAGAGATAACTAGTTTTCATTTATTTAACTTTTGCAGGTTGAGGATTATGCTCATTTTGGTCGTGGAGTGCTGATTTATTCACAGTAGATAAAGCTGGCAGTAAGAGAAATCAAAGGCTAAGGTAAGTTTTGAAAGCAGTGGCCTTTGAAAGTTTAAATGCTGTGTAACTTCCACTTAGTGTAGCTGTGACGTGGGAAAGTTGTTAACACTTCTGGTTCACTTAGTCTCTAAAAGAAACTACCACTTGGAATTGAAGATGTAATTAAGTGCTTTAATGTGTAATACCTGGCACATTCATTGTGAATGTAGAGAGGTTACGTTTCCATGAGTGTGGTTCATTCATGTGATTATTCTTAGTTATTTTTAAACCTGTAAAGCTCGCTAATAGCTCTTCATATGCAAGCATTCTTAACAGGAAGTATACACTTAGGTTCACAACTGTAATTCCAGCACTTGGGGAGGCCAAGGCGGGGCAAATGCTGAGGTCAGGAATTTCAGACCAGCCTGGCCAACATGGTGAAACCCCATCTCTACTAAAAAACACAAAAATTAGCAAGGTGTGGTGGCACGTGCTTGTAGTCCCAGCTCCTTGGGAGACTGAGGCACCAGAATCTCTTGAACCCAGGAGGTGGAGTTTGTAGTGAGCCGAGATCATGCCATTGCACTCCAGCCTGGGCGACTGAGCAAGACTCCGTGTCGGGAAGAGAAAAAAAAAGTTTACTCATGCATTTTGTAAAAGGATATGATATACTTCGTTGTTACTAGTGCTTGCTCATTTGCACAGCCGCAGTACAAATTGACGAAATGTGGAGTTGATGATGGAGCTATGACTGCAAGGTCCCTGTTTGATTAATATAATTTTATTTACATAATGATGACGTAGTATGTAATTTTAACAGTACCAAGCTGATGCCTGTGGTAATTGTAATGGGGTATTTATGGTTGCTTTCTTTTCTTTTCGATGGCATCTAACTCTGTTGATCTACCGGTCTTGGCCTCCCAAAGTGCTGGGATTACAGGTGTGAGCCACTGTGCCTGGCCTATGGTTGCTTTTTAGAGCCTGTGTGGGGTTTGTATTTTTTTGTTTGTTTTTTGAGACAGTTTTGCTCTTGTTGCCCAGGCTGGAGTGCAATGGCATAATCTCAGCTCATTGCAACCTCCTCCTGGGTTCAAGGGATTCTCTTGCTTCAGCCTCCCAAGTAGATGGGATTAGAGGTGCCCTCCACCATGCCTGGCTAGTTTTTTGTATTTTTAATAGAGACAGGGTTTCACCGTGTTTGCCAGGCCTATCTCAAACTCCTAACCTCAGATGATCCACCTGCTTTGGCCTCCCGGTGTGCTTGATAGTACAGGTATGAGCCACTGCATCCAGCTGTTTTTTGGGGATGGCGTCTCCCTCTGTCACCCAAGCTGGAGTGCAGTGATTTGATCTCAACTCACTGCACTACAGGTGTGTGCCACCATATCTGCCTAATCTTTGTATTTTTTTGTAGAGATGGGGTTTCACCATGTTGGCCAGGCTGGTCTCAAACTCCTGACGTTGAGTGATCCTGTCTCGGCCTCACAAAGTGCTGGGATTATAGGCGTGAGCTACTGCGCCCAGCCAGAGCTTGGTTTTAAAGCATATACTTCTATTTTAAGCTAAAGCAACAAGAAAGTATATATTTAAAAAAATAGTTGGTGGGGGAGTACTTCGCAGTAATACAAATACCACATAACAAGATCCCATGTTTTTCATTTTACAGAGTTGTTGAAGCAGAAGGCGGCTGATTGTCGATAAGTCACTACAGTTGCACAAGCAGTACTGTCAGAATTGGTTTGGTGCAGGCAATAGATTTTTGCCTTCAGGGGTTCCTGTGGATCTGAGGAAGGCAGAAGTGTTGATTAACACTCATAACTAGGGAGTGAGTGGTAGTTACTTAAAACAAGTAACTGACCAAATGGAGAAGGGGAAGTAATTAAGGCAGTTGGTAAGTGGAGGTAGTCAGGAAGTTCTTGTGGTTCTTTACATAGATTGTACAGCTTTGGCTTTCATTTTGTTTAGCTAAAGTCATGGGGACAACAATTTAGAACTTAAGTTGAATTATAAAAATGATGGATATAAGTGGTAGCTCTATCTAGTGAAGTGTCTGTCAGTAAGTGAAACATTTTTTGGTGGTAGCTTATCCAGAAACAGTTTAGTTGTAGAATAAAACAGTGACGCCTGGAAAGTAACAACCATGCTGAGATGGCAAGCACACTGGAAACAATTAGGCCACCTGGCTTTTGTTTGCTGTATTGTTTTGTAAGCCTGCTTTATGTCCCAGTCTTAGAAACAAGTTTTAGTTTATTGCTTTGGAGACTAGAGCCAATAGCATAATGTTCTGAAAGGAAACAGACTTGAGTTGTTGGAGTAGAGGAACTAACTCAACTTACAAGATTTTTTTTGTTGTAATTATGGCACTGTCCTGTTTTAACATTTGCAACTAGGGAGAGTAAGTACAACATTTTAAACTCTCATTTGAAAGACGACTACTAATCAACAGACCACAAGGGTAATGACCAAATTTATGTGGTTGTTGCACTTCCATAGTTGTCTTAGCCCAGTCTTCCATACTCAGGATTACTTGGGTTAAAGCTTCTGTGAGGACCTTTTGGTTCTTGAAATATCCTAAATATTTCAGATCTTTAGATACCCTAAAGATAGTATAGGATATAGAGATGGTACCAGATATGGATGAATATTAACGTCAAAGCAAGGAGAATGTTAAAATGACCAGATACCTGTTTCATAGTTTACTGACCTAGCAGATGTGTGGAAAAAGAATCCGATCTTGATTCTTTTGGTTTATACTGGTTGTAATAAAACAGAATGATAACAGAAAATGTTTTTCTTGTTTAACTGGTAGTTGAACATAGAACTTGGGTATTTAGATCTCTTTTCACTTTTTGGAATGTTTTGTATTGAAACTTAATAAAACTTTAACATGGCATCTTTTTTGTGGCAAGGGACTCTTTTTTACTTTTAGAAATTAGGGGTTTATGTTTTTAAGGGTTTTTCATGCCCCCTTCCCCCATACACTAGCTCTGTTATATTGATTGCACTTAATCAGTTGCCTGGGAATGTACTGAGCCATCGAGGCTGTTCATGTGACTAGGCCTCCTTTTTTGAGAGTGAGCTTGAGGGGTAATGTCGATGACTTCATTCATTCCTCACTCTAAAAATTAAATGGAAGAACAATCACACACCTAAGAAGCAGAGGCTAAATACCAGGAATCAACTGTTGTGCGTTTACTTAATTCGTGCTTAAAAAACAGGTCAGCAACAACTCAGTTGTGGCTGTGGATTCCAGATACTTTGGGCCAAGCAAGGTGTATGATAATATGCTTCTGAATTTAGTTTTCAGTTTCTCTGCTTTACCTAGTGTCCTATGTATATCTGACTAATTGATTATTTGCATCTAAAACTGGACATTGCGTTTGGGTTTATGTAGTCAGTTGAACAGAACTCATCATGTGGAGAAAGAAAGCAGGTGAGCATTAAGATGGCAGAGAAAGCCCTGAGTATTGTCATTCTGAAAATAGTCTCAGCTCTACCTTTTTTTTTTTTTTCCCCCCCTGAGAGAGTCTCACTCTGTTGCCCAGGTGGTGGGAGTGCAGTGATGCCATCTTGGCTTACTGCAACCTCTGCCTCCCAGGTTCAAGTGATTCTCCTACCTCAGCTAGGATTACAGGTGTGCAATGTACTACCACACCCAGCTAATTTTTGTATTTTAGTAGAGGGGTTTTCACCATGTTGGCCACTCTGGTCTCAAACTCCTATCCTCAAGTGGTCCGCCTGCCTTGGCCTTCAAAAGTGCTGGGATTAACCACGCCTGGCCAGCCCTACACTTACTGTTTGAGTAAAACATCAATCTACCCATCCCATCAATACTTTATGTTGCACATGTCAGTATACTTCCCTGAAGGATAATTTGGACTTCTATATCAATGAATTCAACTTTTATTGATTTTCAAGATAACATTGAAATCTTAAAGTATTAAGTGTGCCATTTTATGAACTCAGAAATGTGTATTCTACCAAGATAAAAACTTGTGTTTTAGCCATGTATACATCAGTTCCTTTTTACTGTGGTTCATGAGTACGGTATGCTTATGTAATGGAAACCTGGGCCTTTTCTAGTTTTTTGTTTTCGTGCATAAAGTTGGTATAAATGTTCTTACACTAGTTTTTGTAATTACTGAGATGAAAACAGATACGCAATTGCTGATTCAGGATAGATTTTTGAGATGGCCAGGCATTTTGTCCAAAGTAGTATTTTGGAAACGCTTAGCCAACAATGTGTGAGGTTATTTGCCCTCATCGGTGTCTGGTGTTAAAGTTTAGCCCTTGTGTTGAATTTGTGGCTTATCCCCTGAGGAATGAGTAGCACTTAAAGAATATGGTGAAGTATACTGATCTCATGTACAGTTCAGTCTTGAGAAATGCTTAGCACATGAAGACAGAACATTGCTCCAGAAAGTTGTGTGTGCCCTTTTCAGCCAATAGACCACCTCCCAACACCAGCAACAGACACTGACCTGGTTTCCATCATGTTTTTTGCATGTTTGCTTATGTAAATTCTGTATCTGTAATTTGTCTAGCTGCTTAGAGTATTTTTGAGATTCATCCACATAGTTGCATGTATATTCCTTTTATTGCAGAGTAGAATTGCAGTGTATGAAGTAACCATTGATGGACATCTGGGCCATTTCCAGTTTTTGCCTATTAAGAATGCTGCTATGAGTATTGTGCAAGTTTTGGATGTAACAGTTTTTTTGTTGTTTTGAGACGGAATCTTGCTCTGTGCCCCAGGCTGGAGTGCAGTGGCGCGATCTCGGCCCACTGCAACCTTCACCTCCCAGGTTCAAGCAATTCTGCCTCAACCTCCTGAGTAGCTGGCATTACAGGCTCCTGCCACCACGACTGGCTAATTTTTGTGTTTTTTAGTAGAGATGGGGTTTCATCATTTTGGCCAGGCTGGTCTCGAACTCCTGACCTCGTGATCCACCCGCCTTGGCCCCCGAAAGTGCTGGGATTACAGGCATGAGCCACCACGCCTGGCCTGGATGTGACAGTTTCTTTTGGGATAAGTGTCTTGAGTGGGATTGTGGAGTGACAGGATGTAGATAATACATCTTAAACATTGTTGAAGATTACTTGAAGAGTTACTGGAAACTAAGTGAAATGATACATAATGAAACCAATTTTACCATAGGCTAATTGACGCAAGAATTAAGTTCCTACAGCATATTTCTGGTTACAAACATTTTTCGAGACATCGTACTCTTGCCCAAGCTGGAGTGTAGTGCCATTATGGCTCACTGCAGCCTTGACCTCCTGCACTCAAGCAGTCCTCACACTCTAGCCTCCCAAGTAGCTGGGACTACAGGCCTGTGCTACCATGCCTGTTTTTTGTTGTTTTTTTAAATAGAGACAGGGGTCTGCCTTCATTGCCCAGGCTGGTCTTGAACCTTGCAATCCTTTCTTCACCTCCCAAAGTGCTGGGATTACAGGTGTGAGCCACTGCATGTGGCACCAAATAAGAGCCAAAACACATCTAATACTAAATACTGAAGTAAACGTGAGCTATGCATACATTTAAGAAAGGGTGAAAAAGCAACGTATGTCGTAAATTACCCAGTTATTTAGTCTCAGGAAACTAGAACCCACTTAGCCAGTTGAAGGCCAAGGTGGGAACTGATGATGGTCAGCAGGCTATTCCATTACAGGCCATGTTCCTACTTAGGGTCACTCAGATTGGGACTATTTAGACTTGGCAATTGACCTCAGGTCTTTGGGATGTGGGCGGGAACTTGGGTACCCAGAGAAGAAAGCCCATGCAGACACGGGGAGGATGTGTTAACTCCATCCACAACAGCGGTCCCAGCCAGGAGTTGATTTGTTTTTCCTCAACAAAATGATGTTGACCAAAACGACATTTTTAAAGGATCTGCTCTATGTTTAATTTTTTTTTTTTTGAGATGGAGTCTTACTCTCACCCAGGCTGGAGTGCAGTGATGTGATGTCTGCTCACCGTAACCTCCAACTCCCGGGTTCAAGCGATTCTCCTGCCTCAGCCTCCTGAGTAGCTGGGACTACAGGCACATACCACCACACCCAGCTAATTTTTGTATTTTTAGTAGAGATGGGGTTTCACCATGTTGGTCACGCGGTCTCAAACTCCTGACCTCATGATTCACCCGCCTCGGCCTCCCGATGTGTTGGGATTACAGGTGTGATCCACCGTGCCTGGCCTGTATGTTTAATTTTTAAGAAACTCCCAAAGTGGTTGTATCATTTTATGCCCTCATTAGCAAATTTATTTTTGAGACAGTCTTGCTCTTGTCCAGGGTGGAGTGTAGTGGCATGATCTCAGCTTGCTGCAACCTCCATCTCCCAGGTTCAAACAATTCTCCTACGTCAGCCTCCTGAGTAGCTGGAACTACAGGCACCCACCACCATGCCCAGCTAATTTCGTAGTTTTAATAGAGACAGGGTTTCATCGAGTTAGCCAGGATGGTCTTGATCTGACCTTGATCCTCCAGCCTCCGCCTGTCAACGTGCTGAGATCACGGGTACGAGCCACCCTGCCCAGCCTCTGAGCAGTATTTTTGTTGAAGACTAGCCTGCAGTACTTAGTATCTTAATAGGAAATACACATATCTGGGTCCATTACTGTACTTTAAAAAATTGTTCAGTAATGTCCATCCTTAATCTTGATTACTGCAGTTTTTTTTTTTTTTTGAGATGCAGTTTTGCTCTGTTTCCCAGGCTAGAGTGCAATGGCACGATCTCGGCTTACTGCAACCTCCACCTCCCTGATTCAAGCAATTGTGTGTGCTTCAGTCTCTCCAGTAGCTGATATTACAGGTGCCTGGCTAATTTTTGTATTTTTAGTTGAGGTGAGGATTCACCATGTTGGCCAGGCTCGTCTCAAACTCCTGACCTCAGGTGATCCTCCCGCCTCGGCCTCCCAAAGTGCTGGGATTACAGGTGTGAGCCACTGCACCGGCCTGATTACTGTGGTTTTATAGTAAGCTCTCTAAGGATAGTAATTTTTAAGGTCCTAAAGTTTGCTTCCTGCAGAGTGGATTTTTTTTCCTTTGAAGTTACTAGTATTTTTTTCCTACTTCAAACTTCTTGTTAGGGGCTTTCCTCAAATAACTGGAAAGTTTTGGCTCTGTGCTCATAATTATAAGAAGAGCGGATTAACATGTTTATAAGCTCTGAGGGCTTTTTTACTAAGCTTCACCATGGGTGCTGTTTGTTGGAGAACCCCTGTGCTATGGTTTGAATGTTTGTCCCCTCCAAAACCCATGTTGTAAAACTTTCTTTTTAGAGATGGAGTCACTCTTGTGGCCCAGGCTGGAGTGCAGTGGTGCAGTCTTGGCTCACCACAACTTCCACCTCCCGGGTTCAAGCAATTCTGCCGCAGCAGATGGGAGTACAGGTAGATGCCACCACACTCGGCTAACTTTTGTATTTTTAGTGGAGATGGGATTTTACCATGTTGGCCAGGCTGGTCTCCAACTCCTGACCTCAAGTGATCTGCCCACCTCTGCCTCCCAGTGCTGGGATTACAAGCATGAGTCACCATGCCTGGCCCATGTTGAAACTTAATTTTCAGTGATTCATGGATTAATGAGTTAATGGATTATCATGGGACTGGGACTGGTGACTTTATGAGAAGAGGAAGAGACCTGAGCTAGCACACTCAGCTTCTTCACCATGTGATACCCTGCACTGCTTTGAGACACTGCAATCTGCAGAGTCCCCACCAGCAAGGAGGTTCTCACCAGATGTGACCCCTCGACCTTGGACTTCTCAGCAAGCAGAAATATTAGAAATAAATTCTTTATAAGTTACCCAGTCCCAGGAACTCAGTTATAACAACAGAAAACAATAAGAACCTGATGTCAGTTTTTTCAGGGTTTTTTCTTGGAATTCTTCAAGGA